CCCCAAAACCCCAAAACCCCAAAACCCCGTTAGTTATATTATAGAATTTAAATTCAAAATGATAAATAAGCAAAATATGAATTAATTTAACGAAACATCAATGGGCTATTCCATGAAATAAGCAGTTGTTTAATCTCTTGAGACTAGTCTTTATCATAACACAAGCATGACTCTTAATAAATCTACTCGAGGTATGAATCGAATAAAACTTACAGGATTTCTTATTTAATTCTAAATAGATGTTTCTCCAAACAGAGTCAAGATTCAATAATTGCAGGAGAAGCTCCAAAGTTAAGTTCATGACGAAGACAAGTCAACTGCGAATAAGCGTGAGTTCTATGAACAGAAAATTAAGTAAATTGATGATAAGATGTCAAGAGCTCAGCTAACAGAGGACACTAAGTTTAAGGTATTATTGAACTTCTCAATTAGCCAAATTATAGCAAATGAAGGACTAAATTTCAAAATTAATTGAGGGAATTCAGACTGAGTAGATGTCTAGGGATCTGCTTGATGAGAGAAAGACTAAGGAACTAAAGCTTTGTGACAACAACATCCAAATTGAGCTTAATGTTGAGAGATAAAACAGAAGAGAAAGTGAAGCAAAGATCACAAAGATGATTGATGAAAGGTTATATGGCTTGAAGCTAGATCTAGCCAAGGAGAAGAAAATTAGAGAAGAAGCAGAAGAGAGATATAACAGAACATTCGGGGAGTCAATTAATAGACTATAAGACGAGATTGAACTTGAGAATAAATTAAGAGAAGAGAATAGCCAACAACTAGTAAATAAGTTGAGCGATGAAATTGGAAAATTCCATGAGATGTTAGTCCTCGAAAGAAAGGTAACTTCATAAATTTTATTCATAATATACAGCTAAGAGAAGAATCTCAAAATACAATGTTCAGAATGATAGAAGAGATTCACAATAAAGTAATGTATGATCTCTAGAGAGAAGTAAGAGAGCGAAAAGATACAGAGGAAAACTTATTGAAGCTACTTGAAGAGACCTGTATCAGAGTTGAGAAAACTATTGTTAACGCCTAATGAAAACCACATCTATAATCGAATGCTTCAATTAAGGAAATTTCGCTAATTACTGATAATTTTAATTGATTATTTGCTATAAATTTGATTAGTATTTTAATTCTTTTGCGGGGTTTTGGGGTTTTGGGGTTTTGGGGTCTCTATGGTTGTCTGTGC